GAGCTATGTCTCGAGGCGAAACCAGGTGTCGCGATACTCTCGAACACGACATGTCGTGTTCGAGAGTATCCATAGTAAGGTGTCATTTTATCATTTAGTCATTTTATGCAATAAAAAGTTTATTTCTATGGTGTTTATAGATTTCGGTCTTTTTTTTTTGAGTAAACTGGAGCCGACTGTTAGCATTTAATCAGATGCAATAGATAGACAATAAATGATAACAAATTATTATGCACAAAACCTAGATCACTCATTCTTCCTTTTCCCAATCTGGTATCCCAACCTCAACCCAATGAAGCTCATTTTCAGCTGAGCTTTTTACAAAAGTCCTAAATGTAAAGCTTCAATCTAAAGAAGTTCATCAAAGTACCGGGATCGGATCCGTTTTCTCGCCGCCCAGAAAGTCTTGATCAAGTTTCGCATATCCTCCACATAAATCTTCTCTATCTTCATAAACTCGAAGGGAATTATGACTAAATTTTTCATTTTCCCGGATTTCCTTGAAGTGACTCACCATTTTCGACGTCTCACAAATCGAACGCTTCTCCTCAAGAAGTCGTAGAGTTCATCAAGCCGAATGTGGACGAGACCGATCGCTTCGACGAGACAATCCCCGTAGAAGGACTCGAGGCGAAAGTTGTGGTTCCAAAACGTATTCACGTTGGGTTTATTCAATCCAACTCTGAGCCCGGACCTTTTTCTATTATCCAAGCCGCCTTCATGACAAAAACGCTCCAAATCTTTCGATGCTGACCGAATTTTCTCTTTCACATGAAGAAATGTGAATTCGATCGACGGGTTCTGGAGATTTTCGACGTCGGCGAGAAATCCCTCTATCAGGAACAAATGGTGACACCGTGAGGCGGATCTTCTCCCAGCCGTGTAACAGCCGAAAAGCCCGCTCGAAGAGGGCAACATTTCTGAGGAATTCGTGCTGATTTTCTCTTACACAGTGAATATTCCAATCTTCAGCTCATTGGGCAAATTCCGATTCTCAGGGAAGCTTTAACTGGACAGGGTGACGGGCAAGAGCACTTTCTCGACACATAGCCTTTTGGGAGCGAGTCCCAGCAATAGATACACTCCGGGAAACGAGTTTCGGCCGAGCAGCCAAGGGCGACTCTCCATTATTTTCTCGGCACACCGAGGTACCCTCTTGAAAACTTTTTCTTTTTGATAAAAGTGAATCCGTGAGCTGTATCCCGTTGCGCATAGAGCTTTATTGAGGAAAGCTTGCAACGGTTTGACCAAGTCGACCCGGATCCGGAGCTTTTGAAATGCGTACTTGAGTACGGGATTTCCGTTTCTCGTCAAGGGCTCGTCGAATCGCCTCAATATCAATTACATGGTGTCCATGTTCCTCGCGCAAATTCGACGCTTTTTGGTCAACGATCCGGAACTCAGTGAGATCTTTGCGAAAAAGAGGTCGCACTCGTTGCACCACTCCGTTCTCGAGTCGTCGAAATAGGAAATCGAGCAAACTCTCCTTTTGTGTGAACACCTTGCTGATCTCGCCGATGTTATGGGCAGCTAGGGTCAAGTAGGTCGACGAGTTGTCGCCAGAAAAGGTCAATTGACCGCAGTGCAACATCACGTGGAGCGCGAACTGAATGCAATGATTTTGTAGATTGAAATCGAATGCGAGCAAATGGAGGAAAAGCTTGTAGCTTTGCCTTAGTTCGGCCGCCATCTCTTGGCTACTCTGGCCGAAATAATTTTCGAAGTAGCGCTGAAGATCCGATCGTTCCCACTCATGACTATAGAATCGGCCCCCTTCGCTTTTACGATGCTCAGGAAAAGGCCTTGAACGTGCTCGACGAAGTGCTCCTCGTCTCATCGGACATTTCCTCAAAAAAGGGCCATTGATAGGCGATTGCATAGGGCCTCCTCGAACTTCATTCACATCCGTATGCTCGACTTTTGCCCGTAACTTTAGCGACTTACATTCCTTTATATCATCGATAGCTTCCATTTTGATCGAGAAGTTTTTAAAAGCTCGTTTTGTTGTAAATTTTGGAAGCCAATCGAGCATGAAACTATCGATTTTCTTGTTTCTTGCTTCTTCTTTTGGATGGTTTCCGGGATCACCTAGCGTCACCTTCGTTCTTCCAAACGTTGATATGGACGGTGGTGTGTAAGTGTCATTGTGTTCCTCTATTCTGCAAAGTCCTTCCGGTTCACGTACGACCTTTTGGTCAATATTGAACTCCGGCAATACATGGAAAGCAGAAAAAGCTGGAGAATTTTCCAGATTAATTAATGGCCCTATATCACCTCACAATTAGTTGAATTAGTTCCTCGTGGACTTCTACCGAGCTCCAGCGTTTTTGATGTCAATCGATGGGGATGAACAACTAAAGTTCAGATGTGGGAAAAGCAACTTACTTGAGCTCTCGAATCTACAATCGAGTCTCGTTCTAACCAATCTCATTTTTGTTAAATAGAGCCTTATTTGTATCTTTAAAAATAGCTAAACAGCAAAAACATGTATGCCAATTTGACCAGGTACGCGCCGTTTTACAGGAAATTGGAATGATGACCCTCGAAAGAGGAATTGGCCCACACACGACCCTTTTTTATGACCCCGTCAATGGGGAGTGTGCTAGACGATTGGGTACCCCATGAAGAACACTTATCCATTGGTGTAATAGGAGGTTTCCTACGTTATTTCCAGATTCGTTATAGCGAGTTTCGAATGTACTTTTTGGATTTTTTTGACTCTACATTTCTAACTCAGAGCTTGAATGCTATAGTTTAACAAGCTTACTTGCAAACAAGTCCATACAATCGCTTAACATTCTTGCAGCTCGTCTCTTTAAACTCGATGCTCTTGACTATATGTCGCAAGTTTCTAAAAATAATTCTTTTGTATCAAAGGGACGACAAACTCTCTCCTGATCACTTCCCATAGCACCAGTCCGGCTGCAAAAACGTCAAACTTGAAAATATCCTAAAATTAGTTGTCCATTAGCTCCTAAACTTTGTTACCTCAATTTCCAATTCACTTCCCTTGCTCATTTCAGGAGCCATATAAAGACGAGTGCCGATGTCAGTGTTCCCCAGTGCATCGTCCATCCCAAAGCGCTTTATCACGCCAAAATCGCCGACTTTTAGCACAAAATCTTTTGTAACGAAAATGCTAAAAGTTTTGTTACTGGAAAACTGGAAAACTGACTTTTCTGGTTTTATATCACGATGTGCAATACTTTTCTCTTCATGTAAATAGACGAGAGCGGTAAAAGATTTCCAGAGCCCATTGCGCAATCGTTGCCACTGAATAGTTGATGTTTGGGCAAGTGATCACTGAAAATGATTATAAATGAAAGGAGCTCTGAAAGTAAACATTGAGCTATGGGATCAGAGCCAGGCCAGGCTATGAGCAAAGCATTTGGTCTCGACCGGCCTGGACCAAAAATTGAAAGACACAACCTAGGCTATGCAAAGGGTCGACTAAATACCGTTCCGAAGTGGGCCTTGCTCGCAGAATTCCATAAAAATGAGCAAATTCGCGCTCTGATAGCCGAAATCCAGCGGAGACTCCATGTATTTGACGATGTTCAGATGCATGAGCTCTCGTAACGTTTCGAGCTCCACTTGTTGGTTTATTCGATCGGAGAACGCCAGAACCTCTTTCATGACGATTTGACTGAAAGAGTAAAATAAAAGTAAAGTCTCTGAAAAGAGTAGATAATCTTTTCGGATAAAAACAAACGGCTCATAGTCCTCAAGTAGATACGTTTTCCCAAAAGCGCCTTCACCGATCAGCTTCATCATTGCTACACGAAAAGAATTTTCAATTTGTGTTTTTCTTCATAAATTCAGAGCTAAGAAATATAATTTGAATCAATGGAAACGACAAAAACATAGCCAGCCCTTTATTCTTATCTCATAAATGAAAAAGGTTCTGCAGGAAAAGACGTGCTCTTTTTACAGGGTGCGTCATAATGACGGCCAGTGGAAACCTTTGTTCCACTGGTTACTAATAGTTGCCACGTTTTTTCTAAAGCTTTTTTCCCTTTAGCTCGAGATCGCATCGGATCAATGATGCTTTCTAGAGATTTTTGGTTCTAATATATGTAAGATACCGAAGGAGGGCATAAATTTAAACCGTAATAGATTTAAAAGAATTTTCAAAAGTAAAAAAATACCTTTTTACAACAAATGCGCCCGGGTTCCTTTGATTGCAACATTTTATTCGCACAAAGAAAAGCTTTTCGCCTGTCTCTTAGCCGTCATTACAATCAATTTCATTTTAAAAATTGGTATTAACTAGTAGGTGCCAGGTCGCTTTCAAATTTTAGGCTTCGCATCACTTAGTTTTGAAAATTAACAAATAAAGAACCGCTTTGCGGTGAGTAGGCACAGGAAGCCGTGTGTATTCCATATAATTGCTAAAAAAGGGTGCCAAAGAATAACAATTTGAAAAGCATGAAAAAAATCAACCACAAATGCCGAAAAGCTTGTTTCTGACTTAATTCTTCCTCGTAAGACGGAAAGTCGTTTCTGGCGGTGTTCAGTCCGATCGCTCAGGGGACGAAGAAGCCACCGGGGTGGTACATGACTCGATCAGTTGAATATTTATGCTTTAACGCATAGTTTCCGAAATGAATTTATCGTTTTTAAAGTGCCTTCTCATTTTCCATTTTGACTCTTGAGTGCCTGCTGGCAACTCGCAAGGATAGCGCCCCGTCAGTTTTATTTTTGTTTGTTTCCTTTTCTTTTGAAGAGGTCGTCCCAGCGGAATCCCGCCGGTCTAAATAATCAAAAGTTAAGGGATTAGTACTCCATAGGCTTAGATTATCTGCCTATTATTGGGCAGACTAGCCCCACGCCGTCAAATCTGTCAAATTCAAAAGCCAATTTTTAAACATTTCAGCTGATAATAGCATGTTTTCTTCATCAAGACAACGATATGTGCAAAAAAACAAAATATTTTGAGCCTCTATAAAACTTTATTAACTTGATTCACATTTCAATAGATTTTTATTTCCAAGTTATTAATTGGTCAATTGATATCGAGTCACGCATTGTTCAATTCCTGACAAGACGCACAAACTGTTGCCATCTTTTGCCCACGAAATGTCCTTCCACGCACAGAGTGCTTGATTGAATTTGTCACAGGTGGCCCAGTTGCCTGCGTTGAGTGACTGAAAGATTTTTGATCAAATAAAGTGTAATTGCAATGATCAGATTATGCAAATGTTGAACGTTTTGACATTTTGAAACTCCGTTCACGTTGAATTTCATTTGGAAAGTCAACTTTTGATTTTTTTTTTGCTAACCTTTGTTCGATTATTAGTTGGGATAGTTTAAATCCAAACTTAAAATTTAAATTATTCCACTTAAAATTTAGTGACTCACTTAGCACTCTACTAAAAGAGGTGCAGATTATAGGAGATTACACCTCAAGTACTAAAGTTTAAGATAGACCACAGGGTGTTCAAGAATTACGAGCACTTTTCTCTAGTGTGTAGCTCCGCTTAAAGTTAACCATTCCGCATAAAACTTTTTTTTTGTAGAATTTACTGCTTATTTTTAACACTTTACTTTGAGACTTTACTCAGAAATTCAAAATTAGCCATTCTATAGAACTTTAAATCTTCAAAACTTGAAACGGAACGTGGAACGCGGCTCCTTGTGACCAAATTTTGAACATCAACAATTACGATTCAAAGAAAGTAGAAAACATCTTAGGTTTTTTAATTTTATAATTTAGATGTTACAAGTGTTTCATCCATGATCGGGTAGTCATTATTAAAGTGATTCTTTAAGCTCAAAATTTGGTCACAAGTAGCTCTCGAGTTTTGGAGATTTGAGGTTTTATAGAATGGCTAATTTTAAGCTTCTGAGTCGAAGTCGATATCGAAATGTATCGAAGTAAAGCGTTGGAAATAAGCAGTCAACCAAAAAAGTTTAATGGGAAATGGTTCACTCTAGCGCGGAGCTACGCACTAAAGAAAGTGCCCTAATAACACCCTGTAGTTATTAGGACCACTTGAAATTGGATCATTTACAGTACTACGATAGAAGTTGGGATTAGTCATGTGTTTAGTTATCATTAAAGTTAAACATACGCCACAACACGCGACAACATCGGCTATCTTTCCCGTGCATTTTGCGTTACAAGCTGACATGTATCGGAAGTGACGAACCCCAGATGGCTCTGCACAAAAAGCGATTCCTGAAATCAATAGCTGTGTTCAAATTTTTTCTTAATTACAAACTTTGTAATTTTACTATGTCTCGAGTGAGTAATTGCATTTTCTAAAAAGTGGAGAATCTGGGAAAGCTTTCATAATCTTTCTTTCAGTTTTTATCCGATCTACTTAATTTCGATCTTATTCTCTTCATATTTAGATTTCTCATTGAAAATTACCCATACTTTAGAAAATGCAGTTTAGTACTGCCTAACTCTTAAAGCCTGAGCTGACTGTTAGCCTCAATTAGATCATAAAATTTGTTTACCCAAAACGACAGCAAAAATTGTGCAAATAGCAATTGAGTGCATTATAGTAAACTGCCAAAAATGCCAAAAAATAAGCCGACTCTCCCCCCGTTCACTCTCGATTTATAGGCGAACATAAGCGGATTGATGATGTTATCATTGGTGGACCTCACCCCGCTCAGAACTCTTAAAATTTTATTGACCAAATGGACAGAATTCATTCCATTCCAAAATCAACTGTAGTTTTTCTCATGTGATTTTTGATCAATTGAAAAATACAAAGCTTGGGATTATGGTCAACACACAGAAAACACTTGCATCATCGTAAACTGGCGCGTGAACTCTTTCACTAACATTTCACGTGTACCATCGAAAATGACACTTTTATTGAGTTTATGAAAAAGCAACAAAAAAACCTATTTTCTTTTAAATGGGAAAAATTGCGCAAGAAAAGATAACAGAGCCTAAGAGATAACACAAGAAAGGTGCGTCTAAAGCGTTTTCGAAAAATCGATTTTAGACCTATTCTTTTTGAATTTATTTTTTATACTCGTTTGCTTAAATCACTGAGCGAGAAAATGATTGGAAATGGAAGTTTATCGCGTAATAGACAGTAAACCATGAGTTTTAGAATTTTGCGGACATAAACTGGCTTTAATGAACTTTGCTAACTAAGACAATCGATTAATCATCTTCAAAGGGGTTTAGTGCCTGTTTAGTATCTGCAGGCCGGGTTGCAACGTTCAAAGCGGAGTGCGTTGCTTTGAAAAGGCTCCGTCACACAAGTGTCGTTCAATATTTCGGCTTAATCCGATCAATGGGGAACAGATGCGTGGAATTTTCATAGAATATTCTGCTGGCGGATCATTGGATTAATGAACAACAGCACAGTTGTGTTGTTGAAAATAATCTCTTCATGAAAAACTTTCATGCCGAGAATCATTTGAGTGAACCCAAGGGTGCTGCGGAGTTGGTGAATCAGATTTCAACGAAACAATTGCAATGGCTTGAGCAAACCTATCACTGTGTAGAGAGGAATATTAAGGATTTTCGGGAAAGCAGGATTGATGTCTTTTTTGGGTTAACGAGTGAATCGAATATCTCGAGAAACTAGTTGTTGATACATACTTTTGATACAAATACAAAAGCCTACTTTTGCTGCTCTTCTATGATGCCTCGAAAGATGAGTGGCTTTTCGTCGGAGTCGCTTTGAATTCACCCAGCTCTGTAGACATACTACCTATTGGGTGAATGCATATGAAATGGGTAATCCATGTAAATTTCTCCACTAGAGCAGCTATCTAATTTCTGTTTGATTTGAATGAAAAGTTATAATCTTAAGCTAATAATAGCGGGGCAACTTTTTTAGGGAAAGTTCCCTGCCCCACTTTCTGCCCACCTAAAAGTTTTGGTGAAAAATTGGTTACAGTTTTTGATTCAAATACTCAAAAGCGCCTCGCAACACCGAGCTCACTACACAGGTAAAGGAAATTTGCGTGTGATTTTCCCAAGGTTTTCTCAAAATTATGCTTTATGAGATCTCAAATTGCGAACTTATTTGTTTCAGTAGCAAATTTTTAACTTTCTCATCTTAACTATTTGAGAGATGAGTGATCCAATTTCTCCAATTGTTTCCCATCCACTCATCATAAGTATTGGTGAGTTGGTCTTGGGCTTATAGAGTACCGTAAGTGTTTATAGGCTTAAAAACAGATAGAAAAGTTGAATGGAACCAAACTTTTAGAAAAAGATAGAAAAGTCAAGCTGTTTTTGACGTTTTAGGCTGTCAACGACGGTAAGAGTAGGGTACAGTAAACGAGCACGACTTAGTAAAATAGATAAGAATTTCCTCAGAAAGATCTAGCCAATTTCTTTAAAAGTTCTATGAGTTCTACAGTAATGCGGGCTTTGATTAAAGATTTGTGCTACTTTCAGCAAGCGCCATCGTCCTCTGTGATATCCCTTTTCTTCTTCTGATCTTTGTCAATCGGCATTTGCGGTAAATAAGTAAACAAACATTCAGATATCCTTTTAGAAAGCAAAAAGAGTTGATCATCGTTGGATTTGTGTGCATTGCGGATACGGCTCATGCATTGGGAACCCTTCTTGCCGGAGTTCTGCGATTGTGGCTCTTTTTAAATGATCGTCTCTGTGAGTAATAGAATTGGTTTGGTTTTGATTTTTTTGTATCTGGATTATCAAATTTTGGTTTCTGGAGGGCGTAGAGCTGTTCCTGGACTTAAAAACGGAAATTTTTAAAAGTAATTTAGAATTTAGAACTAAAGTTTGCTAACTTATTAGTAAGTTGTGAAGCAGTTCTTTCATGGTACTTTCAAAAAATTGAAATAAAGTGATGACTTTAGCTTAGTTACCATCATTTTTGATGGCTTGAACTACTGAATTTCATTAAGCAAAACTTTCAGCAACAACAATCACCAACCAAGATTGTACACGGTATGGTTTCCCAGTCATTTTCTTGTTCAGTTATCAATTAATGGGATCCGCCACATTGGTTGTCGCTTTTGATCGGTGAGTTTTACAAAAATTTGGGAGAAAATTCTCACGACAATAAGTGGGATACAGAGAAATACGACAAAAATCGAGGATTTACAAAAAAGGACTACAACTACAATTAGTCGAATAGACATTTACAAGATTTACAAGATCAAACTGTGATCTTAAGAAATATTGACTGGATTTGAGACGAAATGAGTCAGAAATGAATAAATGAAATCAAATACAATATACAATAACGGTGACACGCGCATTTTCGGTGCAATTCCCCAACTTTCAGATTCATTGCTGTGACAAAACCCGTTCATTACCGTGCGCTGGATGAGCGCTTCACTTTTGGGGTGATGGGAGGTGAGTGGACCTTTGAACAAATGTAATTGATCTACAAAAAAGCGAGTTTGATTTAAAACCAAATCTTTCAAAATGATAAAAGCAGTGATTGTCAGAAATCAGCCAGGAATTTAAGTACACTTTTAAAGCTTATAAAGCAAGCTCAAAGCTTACAAAGCAAGTTTAAAGCTTATAAAGCAAGCTCACAGCCTATAAAGCAAGCTCAAAGCTTACAAAGTAAGCTTAAAGCTTATAGAGCAAGCAGGAACACTGATAGATTCATTCACTTCTGATCTTGTGCTTGAACTGATTCTGATCGTGGCTTCGGATCCAATTCCTTGTCTTTACCAATAGTCGTCTGTTTAGCCCTGGTTCTCTACGTGACCATCACTTCTGCAACATTTCTTCTTTTCATTCACCTCTCTCCTCCATTACAATCCTCTTCCAATTGTTTCACTTCGGAAAGCTATTTACCCTGGATTTGGAAATATTTACTTTATTTTCGAATGAGTGCTCTCATTTTGAGCAGCTTGTTGTATCTACCGATATCATTCAAAATTTACAAGGTGATAGAAGTGAAAGTGACGAAATGAAAGCTTTTTTAGATGTCAAAAGCCTTAAAAAATCGAACCACTGATAAAATTTATTTGCAGAAGATCATTCGAACGACACGGACAATAGGTGAGTTCACTTACCATTCTTTTTACAAGTCCATGAAGTAGTTGACAAATGATATTGGTATGCTAACAGATTTCTAGACAGTACTAGCCTAGACGAATATTAAACTATTTTCAAGAATATTCCATGAAATTTTCAGGTTTTACCGTCGCGACCGAGCTGATTTTCGCCGTGATGACCGACTCTCTTTTCTCACCTTCAATCCATTTGGTTTAGCGAGATATCAGGTTCTTTGGTACACATGCGCTTTGAGTAAAGGTTGGTTTTTGGATGAGATCAGAGGTGTTCCAAACCCAAGTTGAGCCAGGTCAGCATCAATAGTGGCGCACAAAAAGGCCTATATCAGGCTGGAGTTGGCTTATATGCTTACTAGTGATCTAAAATACTTTCTTCTTATCATCAACTCCTTTCCAGGGGCTCTGAATGTTCTTTTGATCACTTTGCAACATGATGAGGTTTTAAACGTTTTAAGAGCAAAGTTTAAAAGGACACGAGAGGGAGCAAAGATTGCAAGTGAGTAGGATTTGTTAGATAAAAAGAAAAATGGAAATCGACTAGTCATTAGGTATTTAAACATAAAACTTGCATTTAAGAATACTATAAGAGTAATTTAGGCTCGGTAATTCCTTCAACGGCAAGTCGATCATCAAAGGGACATGGTTATGTTGAAGGATCCTGAGACGGATTTATCGATTTTGAATGCTTAAGCATCTAATAAATATTCAATTTTCTAAAGCTTATTATCTATTATTTGAAAGTTTTAAATCATCTCTACAAGATAGGCTAATAAGTTTCGAAATTCATCGAAAATTTTAGACCAGTTAAACACACTCAATAAAATAAATAGCTTCAATCGTTACCACGATCCTGAAAAGCCGCAGGTACAGATTTACAGCTGAATATCTTCTTTTTTCATCAACTACAAAGCAAAAGAAAAACCCCTGAAGAAAGAGGTGTTCTTTGTGATGCCGGGTAATCGCTCGCCATCTGGCATATCACTTGCGTATAGAAACTTCCCTTTTGGAGCCGCTTTTTTCGGGGCGTCACTATGCTAAAATCTTTAGGATCAACTTTTGCCCTTGGCAAAATTTTGCTACAAATTCTACATTTTATTAAACTAAAATCTTCAAATTGACTCTCCAACTTTGTCTAAAGTTCAAAAATTCTTTCAGTCACATCTCGTGATCTCCAGCTTTAACCAAAGCTTCACCAGAGTTCACCGTGCTTTTCGATTCGTCGATTTCATTCCTTGATCATTTTGAATGGATTCCAAATCAAATGTGGGCGTTTGATGCCAAATATGCAATGTAAAATCGGGATCAAAACATAAAAAGGACAAGGATAAACAAATGTAAAGAGATCAAAGCTCGAAAAGGGAAATAGATGTTTTTAATGGCAGACCACAAGAGCAAGAGTCAAAGGGTACAAAAAAGGAAAATTGTATAAAAAGAGCACTTTGAGTGTGTAAAATATCCAACACTGAAGGAAAGGTGAGAACTCTATTGCATTTTGCCCTTCTGTTTTCAGGTTGGTTCTTCTCTTAAGGTTTTTAATCAAACAAAAACAGTTTCCATTGGATAATTTGCAGACATATCGAATTTAGCAATTTCGATATCATTCTATAGCTCTCTTGCAGTGAATGTTATCAGAATATCGAAATTATCCAAATCCAATCAGTTTGTAGAAAGTTATGAGCCGCTCAATTCAGATTTCCTCAATGTTCAATATCCTTTTTCAGGCATTTCCGCAAAAATCGGTGATTTTTGGCGATTTTCGACGAATATTGCCAATGTGAGTGGCTTTATTAAATTCTTAAAAGGATGATTTTTGGTGAACATAGCTCTATTTAACCCACGAACAATGATTTCAGCCCTTTAACAGTCTTCGCTCAAACATGACACTTGGCAAGAAGTTGTGAAGAAAGCAAGCCTGGGATTATGAGCACACCGTTGATGTGAGTGTTTTTGATTGGTTGTTGGATTTTTCTCCATTTAGCCTTCTACACCAGTAAACACGAGACACTTCCCGAAGTCAATGAAAACTTTTTGATTAGTAAGTAAATTTGGAATTACTGTGTACTTGTACTTGAAAACGAAAGTCAAAGTCAAAGGTAAATATTAGTGGAATCCTTGTTGAAATGCTGTTCAATATACTTGAAAATTTTTCAGAAATGGGATGCTACCATGGCAAAAGAGGCGGCCACTCGATTGGATGCTTTTGTTCGATAGCAAGATGCCAGTCGTGTACACAAATGGAGAACCTATTGGAGAGATGCATCACGGAATTCTCATTGCTGTTGATGGAAATAAGTACACACCACTGCAGATGTGTGAGTTTTTGTTCGAATTTAGGATCGGGGAGTGCTTAAATTGCAAAAAAAGGGTTTAAATTGCCCCAACAATAGCTTTTCATTTGTAGTGGTTACAGGCTGTATTGCAATTGCTAAGCTACCATTAGCTGAATCGACGATGATCGATCTACCCAAGCGTGTCGTTCTGGCGATGGATATCTCTCAACGATTGATGATACGCAAATAATAAGTGCATAAAGCGGTCGGTAAATCTGATGATCCCTCTAAATTTAAAAGCTGAGGAGCGCGAAGAAAATCAAGTGAGTGAGATTCGCGGAAACACGCCGAGAAACATGCCGCCATGTCGGGCGAAGATTGGAACAAACTATCGGGAATTTCCTGACAAAATCTGGTGAATCAAATTTTTTATCAGATGTAAATATCAAAATCTTCCAAAAGTAAAATCTGTCAATCCAAATCGCATATGTAATAGCCACAAATAACTTCATTTTAAATACCATTAACCACTCTGGAATAAATCTGGTTCTAATTGTAAGTATCATAAACTTTGATAGCAATAGATTTTCAAGAGGGTGAATATTTCTTGAACTCATAAATCTCATGCACAACATCGTACCTTACTACTAGAAAATTTTCGAGAGCTCAAAGCTGATCTTCAAAAAAAAAAATGATACTCTCCGCTGATTCAAAAAACACAATTCTGGTGCAATTATTCCTTAAATTTTCTTGAAGTAACTTGTTGTCGCGAAAGAGTGAAGAATTAAAAGACCAGTTTCTAGTTTTGCATTCAAAGTACAGTCTATTGTTGTGTTCTTAGTGTTAAAAAACATTTTGTTGAATCTCATTTAAAAAGCACGATGATGATCTCAATTTTTTCTCGATCTCGATGATCTCAAGTTTTTTCTTAGGGCTTTTCTTAGTGTTATGGCTGTGATTTTTCATATTCAAAACAAAAAGAAAAGCATTTATTAAGACAAAAAAACACTTTCTCACACTAAAATGTTTTGCCCACTTGCATCAAAGGCTCGATTTGAGACTAGCAACCACTTCATCGACGTTTTTCCCTCCAGCCACTTCTGCTAGATGCGGAATTACTTTGTAAAAGTCTTTCTTGTAGGAATTTCTGAGATCTGGATCATTAAGGATTTTTTCTCGGTTTGGATCATTTCCTGAAATGAGCCGTTTCTCAAGCAATTGTATCTGAAGATTGGCCACTCTGTCAGCTTGCTTATCAAGGGTAATTCTAGCAAAATCTAAAAAATCCACTTTATGAAAACTTTTAAAGTTGAAATCATTCCTTGAAAGTTCTCTTGTGACAAGATTGAAATTTGCATCCATGCAACAAATCGTTTCCTTTTTTGTTTTATCATTGGGCAAATCGAGTGGGAAAATGGGCACTTTTTCTTTGCTTTTCAACGTGTAAAACAGGAAATATTTTGGGCATGTAAACTTTTCGTTTACGGTCGACAAGATTTCTCCGTGAAATAAGCTGATCATGCCTTCGAAATGCTGGTTGAGTAGAATGTCGCTAAAAAGGGCAAATATGTTTAGATATTGTTTAGCTTCAAGGCTTGAGTAGCTACACAAAGGAATTTGGCTCTCTTTAATGACCCAACTTGGCTCGTAAACAAATTCGCATCGCAAATCACAGTCAATCCGGGGTGGGTTAGACAAACGAAAAACGTAGCCTTTGATCGGTAACTCTTGGCCGTGATCAAAACTGTAGAAGTTTGTTTCCAAATTGCTGAGTGGACACATTCGTTTGATTCGCATTTTTGCAAACAAGATCATTCTCTGTTTTAATCTGTCCAATGCCGAAATGATCATGTCGACAAAAATGCACTCGTCGCCTGTGAAATTCATCTGATTCATGCCTAGGACGTCTTGTCTTGGTTCCCTGATATCGAAACGATTCTCGTTCATCCATTCTCCTTGTAATGATTGAGCATAGTTGAGATCCTTTCGCAAGAATAGATGCCTATGCTGATCGACACCGACGAGAAGCCACTCATCTTTTGAGGCATCCGAGAAAAAGCAGCGAAAGTAGGCCTTTGTATTGAAATCAACAACCAGCTTCTCAAGAAGTTCGATTGAAGTGTTAACCCAAGAAGGCATCAACCAGGCGCCATGACTGCTTTCCCGGAAATCTTTGATATTCCTCGCTACATTGTAATAGGTTTGCTCAAGCCATTGTAATTGTTTCTTCCAAATCTGGTCCACCAACTCCGCAGCACCATTGGGCTCACTCAAACGATTCTCGGCATGAAATTTTTCCATGAAGCGATTATTTTCAACAACACAACAGTGCTGCTGTTCGTAGTCAAACTTGAAAATAGAGATCTCTTGCACTTTCTCTTTTATAAGTTCTTGAACTTTTTTGGCCCATTCAATTGATTGCTCGCTTGAAGACGCGTTATCGAAGTTTTTCTTGAAAGTTTTATCATATTGACTCAGTTTTTCTAATAATGGAAAACGGTCAAAAATTGACATATTTTCTTGCTCAAGATTTTGATCAACAGTAACAGCTCTTGTCGTTTTAATGCTTCCGTCAGATTTCGTAAAAGTTACTGCGTTAGGTACTTTCCAATTACTATTGTCATCAGAGTCAACGGGACTCTCTTCTTTTGTGTCATTAAATCCGATTGGGCGGATCAGCTGCTTTTGGTCATTTCTGCTAGATGGTGGGAACTCGAAACGTCCAGAAGTACGATACTTCTAGAAAATTCACTTATTTTATGCTCATCTCAGAGAAATACCTCTCGCCAAGCTTCAAAACGATCCAAAGCGTCCTTTGCGGGTAATCGATTGACTGACTCGAAAACAAGAATACTGAAATCTGATATGGATTGGAGATCTTTCCGCACACATACCTTTTTAGAACATCTTTAATTTTCTCAGGACATTCGAGCTCTTTTATCATTTTGTCTAATGCCATTTTGTAGCTATTGACAGTATCACATTTGTCGGAGAAAACTTTCCTAGATTTCATATTGATCACTCAAATAAGGCTCAACAACCTTCTTTCGATTATTTCCCAGAGAACAAGACCCACTGCATAGAGATCGCCTTTGATTGAAAACTGCAATATTTAACAATTTCGTGCTTTTGGCTAACTCGAAATTACCTCGCATCCCTTTTCAGCTGCAAAAAGCGCTTCCGGTGCCATGAAACGTCGAGTACCGGCAAATTCGCCGAAAAATGTTTCCGAGCTTTCCATGGCCAAGCCAAAATCACCAATTTTTATCGTAAAATCTTCTGTCAACAAAGTGCTAAACGGTGGGTTTTAAAGTCTCTGAAAATGACCAATGTTTTCATACTTGCTCGTTTTGATGTCACGATGTATTCGATTCTTTTCTTGCATATGTACGAGTGCATTCAAAAGGCCTTCACCCCACGCAACGACCGTATGCATTGTATACGTTTTTGCGGCATCGAAGACCCCTGAAATATTGATTGAGTTTGAATTTGGGATGATCTAAACAGGCTGCCGATAAGGAGCTTCTGTAGCCTTTTCACAAATCTCACATTTATCCAATGATCCGCCGGCACAATATTCCATCAAAATTCCACGGATCTGTTCCCCATTTATCGATTCCTCGATAAAGCCGAAATATTGAACGACATTCGTGTGACGGAGGCTTTTCAAAGCATCACACTCTTCTTTCAACGTTTCAACCCAACCTTTAGGCAACTTCTTGAGCACCTTGATTACAGCTTCACTAAATCGCTTTTGAAGATTATTCTCTTAACTAGCAAAATACATTAAAACCAGTTTATACCCGCAAAATTCTAAAACTCACGGTTCACTGTCTATTAGGCGATAAACATCTCCATAAGCTCCATTTCCAATCGGTTTCTCATTTAGCGATTTAAGCAAACGAGTATGAAAAGACATTTCAAAAAGAATAGGTCTAAAATCGATTTGTCTTTTTCGAAAACGCGTTAGACGGACCCTTCTGGTGTTATCTCTTGAGCTTTTTCTTGCGCAATTTTTCCCACTCAAAAGAAAATTGGCGTAAATTTCATTGTTTTTTATAAACTCAACAAAAATTTATAAACAAAACAAATAATTTTTCGATTGAACATGTGAATTTTTGATGAACGAGCTCACGCGTGAGTTTACGATGATGCTAGTGTTTTCTGTGTTTTGACCATAAAGCTTTGAGTTTTTGAGGAAATTGGTCCAAATCAGCTGCTTGAAAAACTACGTTCGATTTTGGAATGGCTCTCCCATCCGGTCAATAACCAGTAATTCTGAGGGTGCTAACCGGAGTGAGGTCTACCGGCCATAAACTTCACGAATCCGCTCATCATCAATCCAAAGTTTCCAAAGAATCTGAGCACGCTAAGTTGGTTTTTATAAAAGCGAGCAAAAATTTCCAAACTCCGTCCTCCTTATGATGGCCTCTTAAACGACATCAAGATCAAAACTTGGAAACAGCTCTCATTTTGTGTAGCCAATTGATTCCGGCGTAGGCCCTTTAACTTGCTCAAAATTTTCTGAAATTTCGGCAATCGATAGTTTACATATGAGTTTCCATTAGTGGGTGTAATTAGTTTTTTTTCAAAAATGTCGTTGAAGAGGCCATCATAAGGAGGACGGAGCTTGGAAATTTTTGCTCGCTTTTATAAAAAGCAACTTAGCGATTGATGATGTTTATGGCCGGTAGATCTCACTCCGGTTAGCACCCCCAGAATTACTGGTTATTGATCGGATGGGAGAGCCATTCCAAAATCAAACTTGGCTTTTCGCGCAGCTGATTTTGACCAATTTTCTCGAAAACTCAAAGCGACTATTTGCTGGCTTGAAAGCTGTCACAGTGTCATGAAAAATCCAATAAAATTTTTTCGATCAATCAACTCAAATCATCCTGAATTCATGATTGCATTTTGTATGAGATCACAGAAGCATATCAAATTTCAAACAATCATCTCGTCGCTCTTTTGCTTCATCCAATTTTGAAGCTCAGTCAATATTGCAATCGTGTTCTCGTTTTTACATAGTGACTTTGGATTCATCATCAAACTGAAAATTTTTTGTTTATTAGCAAAGGCTAACGTTTTAAGAATACTTAGCTAAGAAAGAAAAAAAAAACGCAGAAAGGATAGTTGCTTTAACCCATTCGAAACCGCAGCGTTTTTTCTTTTTTTTCGTCTACGGACCAAGCCCTTTTTTGACAGTTTTGACTCCGAAGCAGTTTATTTATGGTTGGAAAGATGTAAGAGAGTGTCCTACACCATTTATTTTTGATGAAGAACGATTTGGATTTGACTTCAGTACTTTTCAAGATCCTATCGATTATTGTTCTTATTTTATCGACAACAATATTTTAGTAGGCGAATCTAATAACCATGGAAAAAGGAAAACAAACTGGCAGGATATCGATGCAAAATCTTTCAAGCTCTTCCTGGCTTCAAATGGGAATCGTCAAATTACCGAGGATTCGTGACTACTGGAGTAGCAGGCCTGGATTAGGAGGATTTTCCCACATGTCCCACATTATGTCAAGAGCAAAGTTGAAATCTATTCTTCGAAACCTGCGTTTTTGTGATAATGAACTGGATCCTGCAGGAGATCGGCTTTATAAGATTAGAGCTATTATGAAACATTTCAGTGCAAAACCACAGACTGCATTGATTCCGGGTAAATATGAAACATCTTTTTTGCTCACGTAATTTGTAGATCTGCTACAATTGGAATATACATGTAATACTGAAAAACAGCAAAAAAAAAAGCAATTAATTGAATGAAAATAGCTCAGTTAGCGCTGCAGCGAATAATCGCTGCAGCGGTCCGTTTCTGAGTTTTTGTTGCAGCGACTATTTGCTGCAGAAGTTTCGAATGGGTTAATCGTATCAGAATCAGCACTAATTATACATTTGTACAAGTACATAAATAAGCTTTTCCCGAATCGCATCATCTTGTCATTAACACTGGGTATCTGCTCACTAGAGATGGGTTTCAGCTCGGATTTCGATCTAGATGAACCTACGGTTGTTCTGAGCAAAATTTTATTGGAAATTCTAAGCCATCGAGTTCGAATATATCAAACAAATTCATCAATTCAGCAAGATTTACGGATAACATATCTGAACTGAATTTCTATCACTCACTCGGTGATGTATTTGTGGTTGTGAGTATGCTCGCTATGAATGAGAATGATCGCCCCATAGTCTTTCTTGTGTCTTATTGCACTGAAGGAGATATGAATTAAATTAAAACTCTGTTAGGGAATACCGTCCAGCCGCTTGATTGAGAGCTCGATAGAGTCGGATGTAGACAAGTTCTTGACCTCCTAGCCACTAAAATCTATTTTCTTTTTTTTTGCATGCTTCAGAGAAAACCTGATAATTCCCCTCAACTTCCCTTCTTTGAGCTCGTTCGAATTGATCACTGTCATAGGCTTTTTTCGATTTAAACTAAAACTTTACTAGATAAATTTATCCAATTTACCTTCTTACTTGAGGGTCGCTAATACTTGGATACGGCCATCCCAAAATGATGACCGCTCTGGCCAGTTTATCCTTAAAATCGATGCCTTCACTCATCTAAAATGTTAACGTAAAAAAACTGCATGGATTTGGATTTCTTGCATATCTATTACAGAGTGACCGCAAAGTATAGCGACAACTTTTTGGAAAAGCAACTAGCAAATGTCTTATTTCAGAAGTGGTGAGTGTTAAATAGAGATTTGAAGCCCTAATTCTTGGCAACATTTATCAACCAAAAATTTCCCGATTCGACTTATACAACACATTTAACAAGCGTTTGAATGAGCGCTAGTCGACATTTCTCTGGCGAATCTGTCATTTGGTCTCTTTTCTCTATTAAAAATTGTTAAGAAAAGCTTTTCAATATTTTTTCAATGCAAAAATAGCGTTTAAAATCTCTTAATAACATTAAGAATCACAATTAACTGTTTTGGCTGAACTGGCATAACCAAAGTTTAAGTTGATGTCGATCTCCTTTTGGAGGAGCGGGGAAAAAGGTGAAAATTGAGTATTTTTCTGTATTTATATGCGTATCTCGTTATATCAGCTGTTCTGGTGCTATAAATTTGTTGAAAACAATTTTTTGAACCAAATTACCACAAATTTGACTGAAAAAAACGTTTCCGACTTTAATTTTTTAATGTAGAAAAGCGACCAAATGACAGATTCGCCGGAGAAATGGCGACTAGCGTTCATTCAGACGCTTGTTAAATGTGTTGTATAAGTCGAATCGGGAAGTTTTTGGTTGATAAATGTTGCAAAGAATGAGGGCTACAATCCTCTATATAACAATTGCCACTTTTCAATTAAATTAGACATTTCCGAGATACTTTTTCAAAAAGTTGTCGCTATACTTTGCGGTCACCCTGTACTCTCTTATTAATATAATCTATTATTGTTTCTCTTTATCTTTCTAACAATTTTTTTATTCTGATCTGATTCTGAACAAACAAATTTGATCTTTAGCAATTGATGGTTGCGAAAAAAACAAACCTTTCCACGACAAACAGCAAAAAGCACAGCTCCATCTCCACTTGCAGCCGTTGTATAGTTGTTCACTTGTGTCTCAAATAGTCTCGGATCCGGATCTTCCCAGATGACAACCTAAATAACAATCATTGTTTGCCAGCTTGGAAAAACTAAACCTTTTGTCCAAATGCAGCTTGATTCAATTTTTCGAATTCGAATCGAAGTTTCCGAAGCATTTCATAAGAGGACGCATAAACGAGTACCCCATTTGAGGTGGCTTTGCAGATTACACTGAAATGCTTTTAATGTCCGCAATACTTAAGACTAATTGCAAACAAACAAAACAGTAAGCACACTAACCTGACAATTTTCAGTGATTCTCGCAGGGATCTAGAAAAGCCGTTTTTTTCGATTTCCTTTTCCACTTTGCCGGCCATCAGATTCAATGGCTCGCCGTTTAACGTCTAGATTTCTTTTTTTAAAACTTTTTGGATTCTTTAAGCACACATATTTAATGATTGCTCCAAATATGCGACTCGGATCGAAAACCTCGTTGGCTCGGATGCAGATTTTTCTGAAATACCATATAAGCAAAGTGACTCGAAGCAATTAAACTTGAAATCGGTGCGAAACTCGGCATCAATTCCATCCAATGGCGATAAAGTGCCCGATGCCATCACCACAGTGTGGCAATCTTTGGTGGTTTCTTGGAAGATCTAGAGGCTTATTGATTGAAACGAATGTTCTTCGAGAAATTATATTTTTCAATTTTTCAAAATTTTCAATTCAATAGCATTTGAAACGATTCTGCGTACCCAGACTCAAACGAACCACATGAGCCGAATTGCAAAAGACGTTGAACGTGAAATGGCCGGTTTCTAGTCCGGTTTGTCGACGAAGTGCATGTAGATTTGCCATTTTCTTCGAGTTTCTCTGCACATAAATGAGATTCTTTCAACTATTGGGTTGGGGAGAATGAAATGACGCCAAACTTTAAAGACACTTTTTTCAAGGATAAAACCTTCTTTAAATAAACGTTTTATTTCGTCAAAGGGTTCACTATTGCTCTAAAAAATGACTTTTAAGAGATTGCACAAAGCTTTTTTTTCGTAAAGTTTATGGACTCGCAAACACAACTAATCAAAATGGTAACGAGTTTGACTCATCGTTTGAACAGTTTCTTTCACATAAACCTCTTTTGGTGTCTACATAAAAAAGATAGAGTACACTCAATTAAATAAGTTGCCAAATTTTCAGGAAGATTCCTCCAACCGTTTTCTCTAGAGTTTATAAATTTTGTGAAAAAAAATGGTTTTTTGTTGAGCTGAGGCGCTGTTTGAGTTCTCTTTTAAATGTCATTTTGTAGAGAATTAGTTAACCTTTCTACTGATATCAATATCATTTGACAAAGTTGACAAAGAGAAAGACAAAAACAAAAAAATATCAGTATCATTTGACAAAGTCTGCTAGGAATTTTAGAAATTTCTTTGACTTTTGGCATCATTTCATTCTCCCCAACCAATAATAAACTCCAAACTTGTGAATCGGTGAGATCCAAATCCTCATCATCATCCTCCTCTTCCTCGTCAGCTTTTCCTCGAGAGTTCAGTCTTGAGACTCGGTTGATGTAAAATCTGAATGTTTCATAAAGCTATTCATTGAAAAAAAACCTACGAGAAAGCATCCGCCTTTTTTGCATCATCCATATTCTCGCAAAATGCGAACATTTTTGTAAATATGCCACAACGGCAAGAAAAACTCGACTTCTTGACCGTGTTCAAAGATTCCGAAAAGAAAGACATTTTTCTTAGTTTGTCAATCTTTTACTTGAAAGTCGGCCAGATCAATCGAAGACAAAAGGATGCCACAGAGATTGAGTTCTTGACTGTCTTGTAGATCACAGAGAATCAATTTGTAGTCCTGAAATCGGTTGTTTGAAAAAATCTGTTAGACTTTAATACCGTCAAATTGCTGGGCTGTCTCGTTTCGCCGAATTTCTGCTTTCCTTTAGCGATCAACCACTTCAAGAAATTTGTGGCGTAGGTTTTGAGCTAAAAGTCGAATTAAGAAACAGATTGATTGTTTTCACATCATTTAGGGCACGTCTGACGTTTTTCAGATTAGCGTTAAATGGAGCTTCCAAGCCCCTCAAAGCGATGGCTAGGCGTTCATCTGAAAAACATCATCGCGTACAAAGAAGGACTATTATTTAGCTCATGCTGTACCGGCTTTGTCGATCGTTTCGAGTGTTTCCAGAATTGACAAATCGGTGATCCCGAATGAGGCCTCCTCTCTGAATTCTTCTCATTTCAGAAGTAGCCTTGGAGTTACGATAACGATATATTGACCTAATTGTTTGCATAACTTTTAGAAATCTAGCTCAAATCTTCAAGACTCACCGACAAAGATTCTCGATATTATGAGCCTCATCGATCACGAGAAGAGCTCTCCTCAATCCCATTGAACCAAAAGAGATTTTTCTGATTGTTGGATCTAAAAAAGTTATGTTTTTTTCGCTTTAAGCTTTTTCTACTCACTCATCACATAGTTGTAAGGAGCGAAAACGATTTGCGCATCATCAATCATTTGCCTCGACGCATAATAAGGACATTTGGGCCCATCCGGATCCGGAGCTAACAGTACAGTGCAATTTCTGTGAGATCTTATTTGAATAAATGTCTACCTTTTAAAGCAAATGATTACAATGCTACACAAACCTTGAGTAAAAAGGTGAGTCTTCCAAGTCGAATTGATAATTTTTCATCTTGTCGGATAAAGCTGTTTTCAGATCCTGAATGGAAAAAAATGACAAAACTCGACATTCAGACCTCGACGTTCCAGAGTTGATTCGCAACTTTTGTATCAACGAATTCCTCTCGAAAAGTTTTCTTTTGAGTTTTCAAACCAGATCCTTCATGTTGACTCGGATAATTCGGCTTCTCTTTGGCCTTTTGAAAGTTCTCCCACATTGGGCAAAACTAAAAAATGATGATGATGGTTAGAAAATCTTGGAAACTTTCTTGCAATCAGCTCCATCAACTTTAATCGATTGTTTGTGATTGACAAGAGCTCGGCATTTCGTATTGAGGCCTGTTGAAGTAGCCACTTTCGAATTTGTGCAATAATTTTTCCTTGAAGCCAAGATCGTGTGTCTGTAAAATGAGAGATCTACATTAATTAGGTAAATCAACAGATTTATTTAACAACCAGAAGTAGGTATATATGAGTTGGAACTAGGGCAGATCAAAAACTCGTGCACACTCGTGGACGTGAGCCCGCGACCTTTCGCTTGCCGAGCAACTGTGCTAACCGCTATACCACAACGCACTCGATCCCCCTTCCTCCAGAGGGAGTTAACTTCCCTCCTCTCTGAACGAGACGGTTCCACACATCTCGATTTATAGGCCTGGGGTGCAAAACTAGGCATGAAGACCTTAGCTAGCATTGCAGAGCCCATCCTTCTCCGTGGTCGCCAGTTGGAACTAGGGCAGATCAAAAACTCGTGCACCGCCGGGACTCGAACCCGCGACCTTTCGCTTATCGAGCAACTGTGCTAACCGCTATACCACAACGCACTCGATCTCCTTTACTCCAGAAGGAGTCAACTTATGTGCCAATATGCGCTCACTTCTCGATGTAAAATCCCATTTACCTGAAATCCTTGAGAAGAAAGCCAGCTCGTCTCATCTCGGAAATCGTTTGTTGGAGCTGAGAATGAGTTCTCGAGCAGAAAATCAAACGCTCAGGTCTGAAGCTCAAAGTTGTTATAAGGAATTGTTCTCCCACTTGTTCTCAACACTTGTTCCATTTCCATTCAAGGCTTCGAGTGCTCCGATGATCAAACTCATCGTCTTTCCTAAAGAATCTATTATGACCTTTGAATGTCAATATCCACCTGATCCTGTTGGACTCTCAATCAAAAGTCTTTCCCGTTTTTGAGCCGCTTCGATGATTGCCTTGATGATTGTTGATTGAGTTGAATATGGATGGAAATCATTCGGAAATCTCGCCGACAGCTGAACGAACAACAACTCAATGAGTTTCTTCAAGAACTTTAGAAAAGGAAAGGGAAGGAAAGGAATGGAAAGGTATTTTAAAAAAGCAAAAAAATAAACCACACAGAGCACTAGACTTTTAAGTTATTGCTTTAGTAAACGAAGTTAAGCAAATCTTGAATAAAAACATAGGATGTTCAATCAAAAGAAATGGCATTTGAAAGATGCTAATTGTAAGATTATAGTGCAGTTCTAAAGTTTAATGAAAGACAATCATTGAACAAACCCCATCTCCGACGGAATCGATCCGATACTCTGATGATTGGCTCGCCCGTGGCTCATCATCTTCGAGTCGAGCTCTTTTGAATGGCGAGTCAAGTTGGGTGCCGCCCGGATCGGCCTAGGAATTTCCTTCTTAAGAAGTTGTAAGAATGGAGCATGTACACTTCTACATTTTTTTAGTTTTTAATCCATAATAAGAAATGATCTTAACGAATAGGTTACCGATTTTTTCGTCGGCGTTGTTTGGCTCATTGAAATCGATCGATCTACTCGGCAAAAATTTCAAAAAAGCAAATGCGATTAGAGCGATTTATTGGCGCCTGCCTTTTTCTCGCCTAAGATAGGGAGAGAATGTGGGGGAAATGGCGGAAAAGCAGGAGAAAGGAAAGATATAGATATCGGTGACATATAGCCGAAAAAGAGAGACTAAAAGCAAGATCACTTTTGCAACATATGCACTATCAAAAATTTTACTTTAATGAAAATGTTGAAAGGAGTTTTAAAAGATGTAAAAAATCTAAATCTATTGTAATTTCTATCTAGAACGATATGTACGATATGTATTAGAGCGACCCCCTCAAATAGAACGATCCCCTCTAATAGAGCGATCCCTTTCTTTCACAAATTTTTTATTTCTCATTTTCTGGAAGGCATTATTTTTAAAGTTCTAGTCGAACCTAATGCTTAGTTTTAGTAAATTTATTGCCACGAATTATTGTTTGTTTTATTGTTATTACTTTACTAATTTTTTTTGTTGTTTTGGGTTACGAAAGTTGAAGAATGCTCGTCTGGATCAAGAAATGGCCAACCTTTTGGGAGAATTCAACACAAACGTCGATACAAACGTTGAAAAAATACGATACAAGCGATGATTTGAATCTTTTCGACTTTGATGTTCCTCTTGATCTTGCTGGCTAATGGTTACTTTTCATAATTGTTATTTATCAGGGTGTAAAGAAAATAATGCGAAATCAAGACGGATAACACGGGAAAAGGAAAGAAAAGAAGGGCATTCGATGCAAAAACGCAACTGGAGATCCTTGAATAGGCCAAATCGAACTCGACTGCTCCGAAGTTCGAGTGGCACGATCATCAATTTACGACTGGAAGAAAAAACGAATCAACTCAGCGACCTCAACGGCAAGAGAAAACGATTCGATGGCTGCAGAAGGTACTTGCTGGGGGCAGAAGTTGGACAATCAATTACCCAATGGGTTTGATCTCAACAAGACCTCCAGAATTCTTTTGGATAAAGCGAAGATAGAGTTTTTAAATGGCGTTAATTTCAAGAAAACGGATGGCTAGAAAGTCTGGATCAAGACCGAGCTACAAGCTACAACCCATATAAGGTACCAAAATGATCCTTGAACTTTTTTCTACAACTTTCAATCAGAGATCCTTGCCGAAAATCTGTTTGATTGGGTTAAACTTCGGTCCGAAGGCGTCCAAATAGGTTTCCCATCTCAAAAGTGAGACTTCGGCAACGTCTCTGGCGCGAGATCTCAGATTATTGTCCCAGACACTTTTTATGATTAAAAAAGAAGAACTACACAAGATAATAGTAGGTTACACTCAGACCTTTGTAAAAAATCTCAAAATACATATCGATCTGGTATATTCCAACCTGTTTGACCAAAAGCTGATTGATAACCTCTACCACAGCTTGGATAATCGAAACTTTCAACTAATTCAACTAATTCAACGGGGCTGTTACTGATTATTGAATTAGAAATTGTCGCTCAATTATTGTTTCTGTTGTTGTTAATAAAGCATTTTTGGTAACGCGGCTATAATTTTGTAGATTTTCGAAAGTAGTTTTTTAAAAAAAAATACCGAAAAAAATTGTGCTAATTTCTATTGAAATTTGGTATTAATGCACATTTTAGTACTCAAAAATGACATCTTTTCTCTTTTACAAATTTTGTCAAAACTTTTCAGAAATCGTGTTTCTACAAAATTCAGCGATTGATATTGACGTGGAGCAGTGTAGAGTGACCCTCCAAGGGGGTATTTAAAAATAGGGCGACCGGTCGCTCTAATACAGCATTTACGGCATGTAAATAGCTTTTGGCGTGATTTTTGGCTATGCCAATGTTTCTTGATGGAAATTTGCTTTTTCTTCCAGGCCGGCGATTCACAGAGCCTCTCTTTTCTCTGCGCTCTCTTCAGAGGCCTCTGATTTCTCTTAAATGAGCTTATCGTTAGCTCTTCTTTGATAAAGGGGGAAAGGGAAAGGAAAAATTTCTTACTTATTTTCTGGAAATGTTTCAAAAGGTCATTTTGTTTCTTTTGTTTATTACGCACCGGCGAACACTTGGTGAGCTATATACATGGTTTTCGGATTGGATGGCCTTTCGGAGGATCTAAACCGTTATCCAAAAACCCTGTCTAGTAAGCTTGACTAAAAACTCGGCATCATTTTTTAGTTGAGAGTTGTCAAGTGCTTTTCGTGATCGATGGCTCGAGCTACTACGTGGGTTAATGTTTTTTTTTAAAAGCTTGAACTAAATTTCTTGTCTTGCTATTATTTTAGTGCATTATTTTACTATTTTAGGCTCTAAATTGACACACTTTAATCAAAGATAATCGGTTAGAAAGAGTTTTTGAGCGTACCATTGTACTCATAAAAACCATACTCAAAAATCATACTCAATTCTGTAAAAACAGAGAGTCAAGTTCAGGAAACATACGTATTTAGAGCTCTTTTCAAGCCGAGCTCACAGCAGTCACCACGACGGCCACCATTCTCTATTCGACAAATGGCATCGGGTTCAGTGCGAATTATTGGCTTTACGGAGCCGGGGATACGGATCAGCCGATTCCTAACAATTTTCTCCGATCAAAAGACGATTTCGTTGATGGTGTGCGCGATTTGAGAGCGAGTAGGGGAAACGAGACGATTGTCGGGTAGAGTAGGGTAGAGTTCCTAAGTCGAAACGAGAAGAAAGTGCTCAAACTGTGACATATGACAATAGCCCGCAGTTTTCAATTCACCAATCCAATACATGACGACTAGAGAACTCAATAAGTCTTTGAAACCCAATAATCCTTTTAAGAGCCACAAATAAACTCATCGAGTGGACAACATCGGATGCTCTCATTGTGCTGTACACGGCCAGGTTGAAGGACATATGATCGAGGAAATTCACTCTCAACTTTAGTCCCCAAGCCCTCGTCACGGCGGCCGGGAAGAACTACACTTTTCAGGGAAAAACGATTGTTTTGCATATAAATGGTTTTGCTTTTGGTTTTTTTCAGCACATGTTTTGACGTCTTTAGATGGGATCGATGTGAGTTCCCTCTCCAACTACCCAAGTCCTTCAATATTCGACTATGGGATGCTGACCGGATTGATTCAAAGCACGTGCCTACTGTTGGAGGGTTCTTCGGTGAGTTCGACAACGTACCTTTCTCCTTTTCTTCTTCTTTCTTGTCCTAACTTTACAGCTGTCTGATCTTTAACAAACAATAAAAACAATAGCTACAAACTTAAAATGGAGCTCTAAAAAATTTGATAGATGAAACTACTATCGAAGTTCATACTATTTCACTTTGTGCTCAAAATTTCGAGTATTTAGTCGACGACTTCTTCACAATCAACAACAGAAGCTTTCTTTTCGACTACTCCATCCCCCACTCCTCCCGAATGCCATGCCATCTTTGTGATCGACGGTTCCTCGCTTGTGGTCGGTTACATTCGAGTCCGCAGTGAAAAATAGCCAAATTTCGGTGCAGAAAAGAACACGGTTAAAGTGTCTGCTTGGTTCGCGTACAACAACCCGGAGATTCGCTTCACAGCCAACATTTGGATGTACGGTGCGGGGAAAAGAGACGAGGCCATTCCATCAACCTTTCTCCCGGGAGCTCAAGACGTTTACAATGTCGTCGACCCGTTGGCCAGCTATGATGGGAATGAGACTTTGAGGGGGTAAGTAGAATAAGGGAAAGATCGATCACTGCTTCAATGAGTGAAAAGATTCCCCATTTCTCGAGTTCACAGCGTCTTGTATATTATTCAGCGCGCGAGTCAAAGCATTGAAGCAGACAGTAGTAGAGAGCAGTGCTAGATAATTGTATACAAGGCTGTGACTCGCTTTTGTCAGTGAAATGGGGTTTTTTTGCAAAACGCATTGTAGTGAAAAACTTTTCCGAGTGAAAAAATAAGGTAAAGTGTTTTTAACTGAATCCATTCAACGTATACAGGATAACCATTTTTGTTGTTTCCCGTCTATCTTCATTATCTATAAAGTAAAGTGTGTTCCTCTCGAGTAATGCGTTTTCGAAAATGCACCTATTTGAGGAAACTACCGTAATCAAACCGTTAGTTTAAATCCGATCAGTCCGATTTTCGTATCATTTGATGGGGAATTACAAGGCTCAGTCAATGCTACCAAAATAAGGGCTGATCGGATGCAAACTAACGGTTTGACTACATTAGTTTTCTCAAATAGGCGCATTTACGAAAACGCATTACTCGAGATGAACACACTCTACTATAGGGCGTGTTCCCGACTGAACGATTGGCCTTTGCCGGACAATGTGACGTTCGTTGTGCTATTCACTGCCGGGTTTGTGCTTATAAAATGCTTATTTCACAGTTTTCCCTTATTGTACAGTAGCCAAGCCGATGTCGATTCTGCGAAAGCAGTGTTCTTGCTGAGAGCTTCGACCATTGGAATTCCACTTATTGGTAGCTTTTTTTATACATACATCATAGTTTAAGTTATAAAAGGTTTTTGGCTAAAATTTTATCTCTTTATCTTTCATTCTATATTTCAAAGATGGTTTTAGAGTTAAAAGACTTTTTTAGAGAGTTAAAAATAGAACTCCATTGCATGTTTCCTGTTTCAAAGCAGCTCTGAAGAGCAAACAACGGTTAAACATTGAGCGCTAGAATCAACTTTCAAATTATTCTCAACTTTGAAAACAGTTGATTCTCTTTTTTAATCATCTGAATGTAAAAATAGATTAAATCTAGAAAATATATGTCGTAGCCGATTATGAATTTCAGCCGATTATGAATGAGTGGGTCGGGACACGTCCAACCATCAAGTATTTAGTATCATTCAACGCAGAATCATCAATAACTATGTTAAATTTTTTAAATTAGAAAGATTGGATAAAAAGAAAAAAAATTATGGGCCTTCAAAGTTTTCTCTTGAACAAACAGTTTTTTTGCTCTAATTTTTTTCTTTTTATCAAATCTTGCTAATTTTAAAAATTTAACATAATTATCAATGATTCTGCGTTGAATGATACTAAATACTTGATGGTTGAACGCGTCCCGACCGACTCATTCATAATCGGCTGAAATTCATAATCGGCTACGGGGATTCAGCCGATTTTGAATGAAACGTTGTAGCGCCGGCAATTTTTAACCTAAACTCACAATTTTGGTACCAATCGACGCAGAATTTGATTAGCTACAAGATGATATAATATTGTCCTCATACATTAAAGGGTTGCTCTACTAGAAAGATTTGCCAAAAAATTTCATTCATAATCGGCTACGACATATAAATAAAACAGTCTACTATTGTAAAAATTTCCAGACGGTGTCGACCTTTCTGAAATCGCCACCCAAACAGCTGATTTCCACGACTATGATTCGATTAACGATGCCATCGATTACATGTGTTTAAATGGAATGCCTAAAGCATGATCGATTTAATAAAAAGAGATCAAATTAGACAATCGATTCTAAAGCTAAAGTCATGAAATGGCTTTAAATCATTCATTTAGCTTTCTTTTCTGGACAGCTATTTCCATCGTGAGCCCTCCATTTAAAATAAAACTTCGAAAAAATGAGCTCAAAAGTATGTAACAGACAGCTCAAACAGATTTGACACAAGTTGTATTTGTGCCCTAAAGTTTTCCTGTTGTTTCTTTGCTTTCTAGTAGTTCTCAATTTAATCGAGTTTATTGATTTTATTGAGAATTTCGGAAAATGAATAACTTTTCATTTCCAAATAATCTACTTATAACGTATTTACTTTTTGAAATTCCTTGATGTTTTGGATCAAATTCGATTAAACAAAATACACATCATAAGCTTTGATTTGCTGGGTGATCATTTGTCAGATCTCTTCGAACATTTTCTTTATCTAAAAAATGTTTATAGGTCTATTTTTAGTCAGAATTTTGTCAAAAATCAGAAAAACGATATTGCCTTTTTGACATGGCTGCCTCCTTGGGCAATAAACGAGGTCAGTTCAACTCTAGCCTTGACCAGGAAATTACGGTCTTGCCACTTTACAAGCACTTATCATTCAACCAGTTAAGCAAAACAATTCAAAAAGAATCTATGAAAAATAATCGGATTATACACAGATCATATTCAAAACGAATAGTAAATTCACCTCGACGGTGATTCCAAATCGATTACTTGATGAGAGCGGGGTTTTTTCATCGCACATAAGGAACACGACTAAACGAAAATGATTCCTATTAAGTTGTCACTCAAATAACCGGACGTCTTGACTAAAAATTCATTTTACAAATGTTGAATGCACCAAATGAAGCATGATTTGCACCAATGGAAAGATTTATATTTCCGCTACAAAATCGTTGTTTGCAATTTAGAAAAGCTTTCGTTTTCAGGGTTTTTTCGGGAGCGCAAAGGCAAGTAGGCCAAATTGGCCAGAATCGATGGTTGGCAACTTTCTTGATGGAAACTGACATTAACTTTCTATGCTAAAAAAAGATTAATCTGTTACATTAAAATAAAAATATAGTAGTAGTAATAAAATAGTAAAAGTTTCCAGTATGATCCATCCAGCCGTTGTTTTAAAAATTTCAAACTATTCAGAGCGCCTCATATGATCAAAAACCTTTATTTGAGGACTTTTATTTAAACCAAAATTTAGAAAAGCGGCTAGACGGATTTGGCTGATAATTTTAATGAAAATGTGAAAAACTCAGAGCTTCGCTTTATTTCGCGCAAAAAATTTCAATTAGTACTTGTCAAAAAATGCTGTAAAGTCAGCGCTTTTCTGTTTTTGTCAATTTTGACAACTTTTCTTTGCACCTCCGAAAATGTTTAAAAACTTTTCGCTTTTCAAAATCCCTTCAAAGGCATTTTGTGGAGAAAAGATATAATTCGGTACTTGAATTCTTCTCAAAAACTATCCTTGTTAGGTGAATTGATGTATTGGAACCAAAACACATTCAACATTCAACAAATACAAATCTCAAAGCACACATAGGAGTCTATTTTTAACCAGAAAAGGCGCGTCAGTTACCAGACATGGAATTAATTTCTTCACCAGATCCAAAACAATTGTAGCTCCCTTTCATTTTGATTCAAAGCGACATGAACTTCTTGACTTTTCTTTTGATGATTGTGGCGATTTTGGTCGTCACAACGGCTACTGTGTATCATTTTATTCCGGTAAGATTAGCTGAGATTTGTACATAGAGTACCATAAAACATTCATTTTATCTATAAGCCTTTCTTTTACCCAGGTTGAATTGATATTGTCTGCTAGGTCAACAAAAGCTGAGAAATTTCTTACTAGAAAAGTTGTACCGGGTGGGAATCTACTCGGCTTAGGTATATGGACTTTCTAAACTAATCTAGATCGATAGAAATAAGTCCTGGTAAAAAATTACCTAACCAAGCTAGTAAATTTGAGCAAACGAGTCAAGGAACACTGATAATGGATAAACTTTTCATTTAGGGATGCGCAGGCGATTGGGAATGTGCGGCGGGCACCGATGGAACGCACAAATATCATTGTGTGAACGGACAGTGCCGGTGATCCGAAAAAAAAATCAATAAATTTTCTGCAGCAAAGTCCGTAACTTCATGAATTAATCAACTTCTACAAATTGAGTTCTATCCAAAACTCTTTCAAAAGTTGTCAATCTTAAAGTAAATTCAAACAAACCTTTTCCTAAGTGAAAAGGCGTTCAATTTAAAGCTTTAATTTTTACTCTGATCAATCTAAAATAAAAGCGCTTGGCTGAATGTAAAACGGGAGAAATAATATCTTTAAAAGAAATCTCGTCATTTCATGTTGAATAGCAAAAATGCGTCTCCTCACAACTTTTGTCTTATTTGCTGCTTTGTTGGGAATGGTGATTTCCCAATTTGAGGATTGTGGGCCATTCGCCCCGCCCTCTTTGCCATTGACAATCCAACTTTGGGTTCAAATATCTTGGTGTTGAGCTGTCCAATTTAAATACTTTTTCTACCAATCAACAGAGAAAGACTTGGCGCATCCAATGATGCTAAGAATATTTAAATTGGAGAGCCCAACACCATGATACTTGAGCTTAAAGTTAGTTTTCAATGAGAAAAGGGGCGAGGGGCGTATGAAATGTCCGATAACCAATTTGAGCGACAGGTTTGTGATTATTTGTTAAAGTTATTCCGATTGGAATTGAAATGTGAAGATCTTAATAGCAAATGTGTTGAAAAAGAGCTCTAAAAGGGGGCTGGCCAAAACAACGCCGACCAAAATAATGCCTCTGCGGTTAAGTTTATTTGTGTTTCTTATTTTCATTGGATGTAGTAAAAAAAATTAGCTATCTGCTGAATTTTTTGGAGTCTTTTAGAACAAATCTGGGATGAGAAAATGTCAAAAAGCGAAAAAGGGCTCAAAAAGAGGTTAACTGAGCTTTTCTCGACACGAATTCTGTTTTAAGTGATCTCAAAGTATGCAAAATGTAGTTAATTGTATTCTGCATCCAATAAGAATGAGAAACACATAGAAACATAAATGTGGAGGGACTATTTTTGCCGTTTTTGCCGTCTGTTTTGACCTGCCCTTTAAAATTCTTAGGAGTAGCGTTGCCGTGATTGCTCATGTCGCTGGAATTATCCTGGAATTGAACTGTCGCTGGAATTATCCCAGTTTTTTTCAAGGAGAATTGCTATAAAATATTTCATCCAGTTGAATAAATGTATATATTTTTGAACTAAAGCTTAAAAATAAAATAATTTTGCAATCTTTTCCCCGTTTTCGTTGTTTGGTAAGGGTTTTAATCTAGTTTATGTTTGAAAAAGTCCATTAGGGTTTTGAAATCTTTTTAACTTGGAGTTTTTGTCAGTCTTCTGGTATTTTTCAAAAGCTTTTAGATGCTTTTTGCATTTTTTCTTTGAAATGTCATTGAAATTGAATAAGTAAATTCATTAGACAAATAACAAAAAACGATACTTATGGGTACACCTCATACTTAAGCACTTGCCTAAAAAAGGGCTATCACTATGCCTGTCTTAGTTTAGTTTAACCTTTTTTATTATAATTGATCTAGAAACATCTATAAACTAGAAACGAGCATAGTTTGCCCATAAAGTCAACATATTTGTGCTAAAATTGACATATTTTTATGATGAAAAGAGATGCGGTAAGTATAAGTACACAAAAAAGATAACAACCCCAAAATATCACAACAACAAGCACAGAAAATCTTTCTAAATTACAAAATTCTTCAAAATCATTGCTTTTCTTTGTTCATCGCTGGATAACCCTTGTACATCGGAGCCATTTCGAGAATCCATTCCCTTGTTACTTCAGTGATCGTTCTGATCTCATTCTCATTCGTCATCTCATCATAAATCACCCATTCAGGCTGTCTGCTGAGTGTAGTTGTTGAATGAAGACTCACAACTTGTCGATCGTGCAAAGTACGGTACTTTCCATTGTCTTCAAGATGTGCCAATTGCAGAATATGACCGGAAAGGAGAGCTTTCTGCACATTGGATGACTCTTTTCCATCAGCTTTCTGCTCTTGAACACTTTTCAATTGTTCACGAATTTGGTCAACTCTTTTCATGTTTTTCTCATCGATTCCATTCTCCTTGCACCAATTTGGATCAGCTTTGTAGCTCTGATAGATGTTCAGCAATGTTAAATGATCTCCAGATGGGTGAATGAATTGACTCTTAATAGAATCCAGAAAATCATTTGGCCTGGAAAGCATCGAAATGATGGACAAGATCTCTTCATTACAGCCAAGATTCAAGCTTGTCACCAAAACTTTTGACATTCTTGGCTCTAAAGGGAATTTGATCATTTGTGATCCAATCTCTGTCAGCTCTCCATGTTCATCAAATGCTCCCAGAAGAGTCAACTCATCAATCGCTTTTTGCACTGACTCTTGCGATGGTTGATCAATGAAATCGGAAAAGCCTTTTACTCCAATCTTCTTCAACTGCAGCACCATACTGTTCAATGGTTTTCGGCAAATTTCCGGGCTTTTCTCCGATTTCAATCCTTTACCGACTTCAATCAATGGACAATCAAAGTACTTTTGAACCTTCCCCACCTCTCCACTTCCCGACATGATCACCAATTTCAAATCCTTACGCTTCTCTATAATCCCTTTTAGCAATGACAGCAGAATATCCGTCCCAATCGTCCTCTCCTGTACCTCATCAACAACAATTGCATTGTAGCTCTCCAAGAGCGGAGATTTCAGCATTTCTCTCAACAATAGTCCATCAGTGCAATATTTCAACCATGTTTTTGTTGATGTTTTGTCTTCAAATCGGATCGAATACCCAATATATTCACCAATTTCTGTATCCAGTTCGTCGCTTACTTGTTGAGCAAGAGATATAGCTGAAACTCGTCTCGGTTGAGTGCATCCAATTAACGGCTTTTCGGTGGCTTTTTGTTGGAAGTGTTCTAAGCACCATTGTGGGACTTGAGTTGACTTGTTGTCATCACCGACTAGAATAAGGATTTGGTGTTGATCGAGTGCCTCAAGGAATTGTTGTTTGTGAGTCAAGATTGGTAGTTTGCAAAGCTCTTCTTGAATCTCCCAGTAGCGTTTTGAGAATGGTCGGCCGGTCAACGGGTTTAGGGTCATTTTGGCGGATTGAATGGAGAAATTGATTTAGAATTGAAATAGGAAAGTTTAAATTCGGAATTTGAACTCAAATTTCGAAAATAGTAGCTTCGAAATGTAAATCTGACTTTGAAAAGGATTCGAATTCAATCACTTTCCGAAATTGGGAATGATTTCGTATGGATTAGAAGATTTCGAAAACAAACAATTCGGGTTTGAATTCAAAAATAGATTTCCGAAATTTCGAAAAGGTAGATTCGAATTAAGAAGTCAATTTTCGAAATTAAAGCAAATTTGAATTCGAAATTGAATTCCGGAGTGCGAGAATCGGCCAAAGACTGGTAGATTTTGAAATGGGAAAATAGAAATGTTCCCCCATTTTCTCGAGTATTTATGCGACTATTTACGAAACTGTTTTCCGTATCTAGGTGAATGAACGAGAGTGGGAAAGAGATTGTTTCCCTGGGGAAAAGAGTCAGTACGGTGGGTGAAAAGGAAACGTGGGAAAGACATAGCCATTGAACAGTAGAATTCAATGAAATTTTTGAATGACTTGGCTCATTTTCTTCAAAAAAAGTTTAGAAATACCCAAGATGGGTACAGTTTTTTTGTTGTAAGTCTAGTTTTGTGTTAAATGGCTATAAAATAAAGAATTCTGCTTTGATTTTTAGAAAATTTTCATTGAAAAGATTGAAATTTTAGCATCATTACACACTTATCTCAAAACTAAACTACATGTGGATGTCGATGTGGAGACGCTTTCACCATTCCTGCAAAACAACCATACTAATGTATTGAAAGTTAGTAATCAAACCATAAAATAAGAAAATACACAAAAACCATAAAAACAGATAAGCAAAAAGTGAAATGGGGCTCATAACATAATACGACGTTTGTTGCGGTAGTTCTTGGTCACTCTGTAGGCTCTCTATAACGAAATGGGGACTAAAGGGACCAAAAAATGTTTCCGTTATATAGAGTGCTATTCGTTCCTAGGAGGAAACGGATATGGACTAGAATTTAGCTTAAGTTAAAGAGAGTGGATCCTTGATATCCTGCCATCTCTAACACCCCGACAATTCAACTCAACTCCTCCAACGTATTAGTGGAAGTCCCTGTGAAATGACCGACCTGAACTGCAGTTGCATAGACCCGGAAGATATATATCTTTATTTACAGTAGTACGATAAAACTGTTAACTTACAGAATGCCAACAACGGAGCTTGTGACTCGAAGGGATTTTTCAATCAACGTCCACCTTATCGATGAAACTATGGAAATCACTAAATAAAATCTTTAAATAGCAACTTTTGATTGATTTATTGAAAGACCAAAAACTGCATCTAATATTAAATTGTCTCAAGCAATCTGGAAACAATCTGTGTTTTGTGTCCGGTCAACTAATCAACTAATCCGGTTGTTCTTATCAGCACGTAAAAACTTTAACTTTCATTTGTCATCAAAAGCAAATCCGTAACTTCCGATCTTTGATGTGTAAAAGCAAGAATGGAGTTGAAAAATCGCATTTTGGATTGGAGAACAGATTGTTTTAGCGCTGACTACAGTCTTGTTTTGAAAAAAAAGTGGATTTTGAGGAATTTTGGTGATAAGCGTCAGTATTTTAGGCCTAAAATTTGGAAAAATTTTACTTTTTTGATTCACGAATTATTTGTTTATAAAATGCACTTTCTTGGTAAGATTTTCTGATAATGCTCAACTTTGTCAAGTTTAGCATTGGTGTTATTTTTCACTCTCTTTGCTCAAACCCAAGCTGATTGTGACATTGGACAAGACTTGGGAATACTTCTGTGCTACGATAGTTTCTTTCAAGCTATGGGTCTGCCTGCAATTGAAGGTTAGCTATAATTGATCTGGTAATGGATACTGATTACACCAAAGGCAACACCAATAACTCTCATTGTTAGTGGCTTTGTTAAGTCCAAATCAGAACTAAACCCTTGACCGCGTCACTTTGCATGCCTATATCTCCAAAACTAGTGGGCCGATTTTGATGACCTTGGTGTCATTTTCTAGAGCTAGATCTACTAGATCTGACGCTAGATCGGATTCGGACGCTAGTTCGGATTCGTAACAGATAGACTTGACTACCAAGCTTTCCGTTGTTCTTGCTCTTGTTGCCTTGCAAGTCTATTTAGCTCAAAATATTATATCGGATCGACTGTTGGTATCATATCTTCAGCCAAAGCTTCACTCATCACCATAACGAACTATAAATGTTGCAGTGTTAGGTCTAGTGGACACGAGGATCTGAATTTCGATCTGCAGTGATCTTTAAAACATTGTAAAACTAGTTTTTTCTAGACGCTGACTTTTTCCCACCATTTCTACTCGCCGATGCAGCTCGGCGGGAGCTTTTGCGAAAAGGACCCGATTATTTGCCCAAAGTTTGCAGGTGGACAATAGAAAGCAAAAGTTTGATACGATAATAAGAAACTACCAATCAAATTCACTTATTTATATTCTTTTCAGTGCCGCTACTGATCTCTATGAGTGTATTGATGGAGCCGTGCAACAAGACTGTATTGAGGTGTTTTTAGTCGGTTCGGCTTTGAAAAGTTATTCAAAAGAAGCAGTAAAGTCAGAAAAATGTAGCATGTTTATGCGAAGTTTCATAGTAAATTTGTTTTGAACCTTTAGATGGAGCGGAGTATTGGATGGATATGTATGCCTCATATTATCAATGCACAAAAGGATATGCAGGTAAACTAATTGAAAATTGTAAAGTTTTCTGAATTTCAGTTTGGGAAAAAGATTTCTCTTGTATCAATGATGCTCGCGACAAAAATTTGAACGATTTGAGGGTTTGAGAAGTTTTCAAACTCAAAGAAATCAGTTCAGAAATGCTCAACGGATTTGTTCAATGGTATGCTTATTGGAGGAGATGTTTGTCCGTGAGTTGTTTTTCTAAAAGATTCAAAGTTTTCGGAAATTCAGTACTTTTAACAATTACGTTGGTTGTCGAGCACCTTACTATCAAAAGGGATGCAATGATTTCAATGCTGGAGTTTTCTTTTGCAATACGGATCGAGTGGCTGTGGTGGGTAATACGCTCAATAAAGTGAATTTGGAATTATCGCCTCTTGCATGGTTTAGGTGACTTTTGAAAATTTAAGTGACTGACTTTGAATTCGCAGTCAATCTTCAAAGTTTTATAACTTTCCTTAGAAATAACATTTGCATTTACTTTTTCTATATTTTAAGAGAAAAACTTAATTTCTGGCTTTCGAATGAGACCCAATAGAGCTAAATTGGAAAGATCAACAGAATCAGAAAGATCAGAACCCGTGTGATCAGAAAAGACGGTGTAAATTCTTTGATTTTCTCAAGACCGGTTTTTCCAGTTGAATTATTTTTAGTATCATTTAAAAGCCTGAAGTTTTTTCTCTTAAAATATATAAAAAGTCAATTTAAATGTTATTTCTAAGGAAAGTTATAAATCTTTAAAGCTTGACTGTCAATTCACTTTGAAAAGTCACCTAAACTTCGAAAAGTCATCTAAATCTAAACCTAAACAAAAGAACCGAACTGCCTATATGAATTTTTGAAAATATCCCGAAACAAAACCGAAAGTCTAATTGATAGATCCAATAAAATGAATAGCTCCAATCGATTCCCAACTCCGAAAACTTAGGGTACAAATTTACGTCTGAATATCTTTTTTTGTACTATTTACAAAACAAAAGCAAACTCCTCAAGGTAATAGATGTCCTTTATGGTGCCGCATCATCCAACTCTCCATCCAACATACCAGTCTGGCATAAAGGGTTTCCCTTTTGGAGCCATCCCTCTTTTTTGCGCGTCGCTATGTTTCATGCCCAAATTTTTGCCGTAATTGTAAGCGTTTTGTCTTTTGATTTTCTTTGGATCCTGTGGTCCAATGAAATTCTCTTTTACATTATTTGAAACCTCGAATCAATAACTATTGTCAATTCAAAATATCAGATCAATGAACACTAATTTCAGAATGCTCACAACGGAACTTGTGACACAAAGGGATTGCTCAATCAATGTCCGCCTTATCGTTAATATTTTGCATGAAGATATTGAATAAAAAGATTTTCCTTCAAAGTGCAATAGAAAGAACTCAGTTAAAAGAACATTACCAAAAATCGAGTCATTCCGTGCTTTGTGTTGCAGCGAACTGATCCGGGATGTTTTATCAGATCGTAAAAGCTTTCAAATCAGGTCAAAAATCGGAAAAATCTTTACTTTTCTTGCTTATTTGCCTTGAAAAATGCAATTTTTCGGTGAGATTTATTAAGAATTTCCGCAAACTAACTAATTATTCCAGGATTAGCGTTGTTTCTTCTCACTTTCTTCCCTCAAACACACGCCTGGTGTGACATTGGACAAGTGGACACAATAGTTTTATGCTACGATGCCTACATGCAAGCATTTGGTCTACCAAGTTTACTGAGTGAGTGAAATTTTTATGAGAAATCAATTTGATAGTTTGGTAAAGTTCCTTGACTGGTTAGTGCAAAGATCTAAATTTATCTAAGATGATATCAATGCCAATTTTTAGATGCTGCTTTCTTTCCGCCATACCTATTCGTTGATCAAGCTCGACGAGAATATTTAACTAAAGGAGGTCCAGATTATCTGGCCAAAGTTTGCAGGTTTCTTAGTTTGTTCACTTTAAAGGGGTAAACATACACTATAAACTACAAAAATGACGAACTTTCACACTACAAACGCTTCTGACTTGCTTCAAATCTGACGGATTAACTTGATCTATAGCTCAAAAAATAGAGAATCACAAGAGCTTTTGAATTAATCAAAGCACACCCAAAAATATCAATGCTAAAGAAAGTTACAGTGGTTTATAGCTTGACTTAAAACGGACCGTACTAGTGAAAGCTATCAAGCCAGGCTTCAAACCACTGTAACTTTCTTTAGCATTTAGATTTTTGGTTGTGCTTGAGTCCATTCAAAAGCTCTTGAGATTCTCTATTGAGCTATAGATCATGTCAATCCGTCCGATTTGAAGAAGGTTAGAAGCGTTTGGTGAGTCTCCGAGTTTGGGGACTTTTCTATTTTACTCTAGAACTCGACTTTCAATTGTCAGATCGACTTGAGATTGGTTTTAAAATAATCCTCATGAAATTTGGTTATAGAAAACTACAATTTATTTTGTCTACTTAAATGTAACAATATAGAGAAAACTTGAGTCAAAGTTGAACTACCTACCTGGAAGAGTCAATCAAATTAGATGGTCTATAACTCGACGTATAGAAGCTGAATCAACTTTTGTTTGATTTCATGGAAATTTTCATTAACTTTGGCTATAGAAAAGTAGAATTTGTTTTGTAGACTTACCGATAAAAACATAGAGAAAATTTGAGTCAAAGTTGAGCTACCTACCTGGAACAAGCTATGCTAGCATAGGCTACGTTACCCTTCCAAATTCCGTGGTGAGTCTCGAAGTTTGGGGACTCTTCTATTTTACTCTATAACTCGACTTCCAATTGTTAGATAGTTTGTAGTGTTCATGTCTATAAAGAGGTAGACCATAGTCAGTGTTTTCAAAGAAAATTTGTTTTTATGTGCGATTTCAAGGTATATGGGTTTGGATTAGCGGTCATCGTGGGTACTTAAAAGTTTTCACAATTGTATGATGGAATTGTTGTTGCTCTACCGATGATGGAATTGTTGTTGCTCTTTCTTATCCTCTCCGTTCTATCTTACTGTTCAAGTACTATCTTGAAACGGGTTGAAGAGAAAGGGAATGTGCGGTTAAAGAAAATGTGTTGCCAATTCTGGATGCTTGGGGACTATTTAAGCGGAAAGCGAAGGCGAATCCCTCCAAAAGTCTTACTATTAGCTCTTAATAGCCTAAGCATGCCCTATTCTAAACTCAAACTCAAAAAAGGATAATTGGTGAAAGTGTCATTCAATAAAAAAGCTTCAAATACTTTCTCAATTTTCAGATATAAGTTTTAGATTTAAAAAGCACTATTTCATGCATAAATTCCCCATACAAACTGCTCCAAATCACCAATGAATACAGTTAGATTCAATCTTTCTTTAGTGCAAATACCGATCTCTACAATTGCATGATTGGAGTTGTCCAAAAAGACTGTATGGAAATGAGTGTGATCGGTTTGAGAAATTATTTTAATAAAATCAGAATCCTTAGATGGAGCTGAGTATTGGATGGATATGTATGCCTCATATTATCAATGCACAAAAGGATATGCAAGTAAACTAATTGAAAATTGTAAAGTTTTCTGAATTTCAGTTTGGGAAAAAGATTTTGCTTGTATCAATGATGCTCGCGACAAAAATTTGAACGATTTGAGGGTTTGAGAAGTTTTCAAACTCAAAGAAATCAGTTCAGAAATGCTCAACGGATTTGTTCAATGGTATGCTTATTGGAGGAGATGTTTGTCCGTGAGTTGTTTTTCTAAAAGATTCAAAGTTTTCGGAAATTCAGTACTTTTAACAATTACGTTGGTTGTCGAGCACCTTACTATCAAAAGGGATGCAATGATTTCAATGCTGGGGTTTTCTTTTGCAATACGGATCGAGTGGCTGTGGTGGGTAGAGATTGGGTTCTTTTCGCTTACATTTTTTTTCTAAAAGATGCTTAACAAAAACCTACCATAATCCTGTATCTTTAAATGCTTCCTATTAAACTGCTTTCTTTTTGATTCTCGTTTTGTTTTGTCTAAAGATATCGTAATCTTTGTCTTTTGTAAGATTACCTCAAGGTAGAACTCCTGAGCTGATATTAGGTAATCCATCAAGACACAAGTTTTGGACCATCTTTTAGAACGCTTCTGATCAAGAAGTAAATTTGATGATTCAAGTCCTCAAATTACAGAATGCCTACAACGGAACTTGTGACACAAAAGGACTTCTTAATCAATGTCCACCTTATCGATGAAACTTTTCACGAAGCTGTGGAATAACATTATGCATCATTCATTGATTGGATAATCGTTTTTCTCTAACAATTAAAAACATTAAAATGATTAAAAAAGCTTCGAATTTTGATCTTGATTTTGATCTTCACATTTTAATTACAATCGGAATAACTTTAACAAATAATCACAAACCTGTCACTCAAATTGGTTATCGGACATTTCATACGCCCCCTTTTCTCAATGAAAATTAACTTTAAGCTAAAATATAATGGTGTTGGGCTCTCCAATTAAAATATTCTTACTATCATTAGATGCGCCAAGTCTTTCTCTGTCGATTGGTAGAAAAAGTATTTAAATTGGACAGCTCAACACCAAGATATTTGAACTCAAAGTTGGATTGCCAATGGCAAAGAGGGCGGGGCTCGTATCAAATGGCCCACAATCCTCAAATTGGGAAATCGCCATTCCCAACAAAGCAACAATTAAGACAAAAGTTGTGAGGAGACGCATTTTTGCTATTCAACATGAAATGACGAGATTTCTTTTAAAGCTAGTATTTCCCCCGTTTTACATTGAGCCTGGGTTTGTATGGAAGGGCGGAGTCTGGTCCCGGCCTGGCCCGGAATAATTGAGTTAGAAGCAGCCCTGGTTGTTATCATTTTACGGCTTTTAGGAAATGTCCATGAAACAAAGTTGTGGTTGTGTTCAGACAACCATTTGATTCGGACCAGTTCTTTTACAAACTTTTGATTGAAATAGACTTTTTTCCACATTTAAATCTAAATGCCTATTTTCATTTTCTGCTCCTGCTGTAAACTGCCATTCTCTAGAATTGACTCTTCTATTCTACGTACGTATATGTTTCGTCCGAATTCGGTCTGGACGTCAGGATCTGATCCGGAGATCCGAATCCGACCACACTTAAGATAAATGCTAACTAACCAACTTTTAATGCTAATTGACCAAAGTCACACTCAAACAATGAGTGTGACCTAAAATTATAATCTTTTAGCTGAAGTGAAAATATTTGTAAACAAAGAAAGGTTAAGTGCAAATAAGTGTGTTTGCCTTGACTCTCAGAGATCGACGCTGTCCCAACAGCAGTGTCTCTTCAACAATGTTTCCCTGTCCGGAATTGAGTTGATCAAAAAGAATTCAGCTCCACGTGGGGCCAGTTGATTCCTACTGAGTGTTTGCGATGGTGCCCATTTTGTGTCCGATCGAGTAAAAACCATCAATTACAGCTAGAATCTCTTTTTACATTTGTCGTTTCCATTGATTCAAATTATATTTCTTAGCTCCGAATTTATGAAGAAAAAGCACAAATTGAAAATTCTTTTCGTGTAGCAATGATGAAGCTGATCGGTGAAGGCGCTTTTGGGAAAACGTATCTACTTCAGGACTATGATCCGTTTGTTTTTATCCGAAAAGATTATTTATTCTTTTCAGAGACTTTACTTTTATTTGATTCTTTCAGTCAAATCGTCATGAAAGAGGTTCTGGCGTTCTCCGATCGAATCAACCAACAAGTGGAGCTGGAAACGTTACGAGAGCTCATGCATCCGAATATCGTCAAATACATGGAGTCTCCGCTGGATTTCGGCTATCAGAGCGCGAATTTGCTCATTTTTATGGAATTCTGCGAGCAAGGCTCACTTCGGAACGGTATTTAGTCGACCCTTTGCATAGCCTAGGCTGTGTCTTGCAATTTTTGGTCTAGGCCGGTCAAGACCAAATGCTTTGCTCTTAGCCTGGCCTGGCTCAGATCCCATAGCTCAATGAACAGCTCAATTCAGAACTCCTTTCTGTTATAATCATTTTCAGTGATCACTTGCCCAAACATCAACTATTCAGTGGCAACGATTGCGCAATGGGCTCTGGAAATCTTTACCGCTCTCGTCTATTTACATGAAGAGAAAAGTATTGCACATCGTGATATAAAACCCGAAAAGTTAGTTTTCAGTTTTTCAGTAACAAAAACGTTTAGCATTTTCGTTACAAAAGATTTTGTGCTAAAAGTCGGCGATTTTGGCGTAGTAAAGCGCTTTGGGATGGACGATGCAATGTGGAACACTGACATCGGCACTCGTCTTTATATGGCTCCTGAAATGAGCAATGGAAGCGAACTGGAAATTGGGGTAACAAAGTTTAGGAGCTAATGGACAACTAATTTTAGGATATTTTCAAGTTTGACGTTTTTGCAGCCGGACTGGTGCTATGGGAAGTGATCAGGAGAGAGTTTGTCGTCCCTTTGATACAAAAAAATGATTTCTAGAAACTTGCGACATATAGTCCAGAGCATCGAGTTTAAAGAGGCAAGCTGCAAGAATGTTAAGCGATTGTATGGACTTGTTTGCAAGTAAGATTGTTAAACTATAGTATTCAAGTTCTGAGTTAGAAATGTAGAGTTTAAAAAATCAAAAAGTACAGTCGAAACTCGCTATAACGAATCTGGAAATAATGTAGAAACCTCCTATTACACCAATGGATAAGTGTTCTTCACGGGGACACCCAATCGTCTAGCACACTCCCATTGACGGGGTGATAAAAAAGAGCCGTGTATGGGCCCAACGTTTAGCCAATTCCTCTTTCGAGGGTCATCATTCCAATTTCCTGTAAAACGGCGAGTACCCGGTTCAATTAGCACAATTTTTTTTTTGCTGTTTAGCTATTTTTAAAATTACAAATAAGGCTCTATTTAACAAGAAATGAGATTGGTTAGAACAAGACTCGATTGTAGATTCGAGAGCTCGAGTAACTTGCTTTTCCCACATCTGAACTTTAGTTGTTCATCCCCATCGATTGATATCAAAAAACGCTGGAGCTCGGTAGAAGCCCACGAGGAACTAATTCAACTAATTGAGGTGATACAGGGCCATTAATTAATCTGGAAAATTCTCCAGCTTCTTTCTGCTTTCCATGTATTGCCGGAGTTCAATATTGACCAAAAGGTCGTACGTGAACCGGAAGGACTTTGCAGTATAGAGGAACCCAATGACACTTACACACCACCGTCCATATCAACGTTTGGAAGAACGAAGGTGACGCTAGGTGATCCCGGAAACCATCAAAAGGAAGAAACAAGAAACAAGAAAATCGATAGTTTCATGCTCGATTGGCTTCCAAAATTTACAACAAAACGAGCTTTTAAAAGCTTCTCGATCAAAATGGCAGCTATCGATGATATAAAAGAATGTAAGTCGCTAAAGTTACTAGCAAAAGTCGAGCACACGGATGTGAATGAAGTTCGAGAGGCCCTATGCAATCGCCTATCAATGCCCCTTTTGAGGCAATGTCCGAAGAGACGAGGGAGCACTTCGTCGAGCACGTTCACGGCCTTTTCCTGAGCGTCGTAGCAGCGAACAAGGGCCGATTCTATATCCATGAGTGGGAACGATGGTATCTTCGGCGCTTCAGCGAAAATTATTTCGGCCAGAGTAGCCAAGAGATGCCGGCCGAACTAAGGCGAAGCTACAAGCTCTTCCTCCATTTGCTCGCATTCGATTTCAATCTACAAAATCATTGCATTCAGTTCGCGCTCCACGTGATGTTGCTATGCGGTCAATTGACGTTTTCCTGGCGACAACTCGTCGGCCTACTTGACCTAGCTGCCCATAACATCGGCGAGATCAGCAAGGTGTTCACGCAAAGGAGAGTTTGCTCGATTTCCTATTTCGACGACTCGAGAACGGAGTGGTGCAACGAGTACGACCTCTTTTTTCGCAAAGATCTCACCGAGTTCCGGACCGTTGACCAAAAAGCGTCGAATTTGCGCGACTACCATGGACACCATGTAATTGATATTGAGGCGATTCGACGAGCCCTTGACGAGAAACGAAAATCCGTACTCAAGTACGCATTTCAAGAGCTCCCGATCCGGGTCGACTTGGTCAAACCGTTGCAAGCTTTCCTCAATAAAGCCTATGCGCAACGGGATACAGCTCACGGATTCACTTTTACCAAAAAGAAAAAAGTTTTCAAGAGGGTGCCTCGGTGTGCCGAGAAAATAATGGAGGTCGCTAGCTGCTCGGCCGAAAATCGTTTCCCGGAGTGTATCTATTTCTGGGACTCGCTCCCAAAAGGCTATGTGTCGAGAAAGTGCTCTTGCCCATCACCTTGTCCAGTTGAAGGCTTCCCTGAGAATCGGAATTTGCCCAATGAGCTGAAGATTGAATATTCACTGTTTAAGAGAGAAAATCAGCACGAATTCCTAAGAAATGTTGCCCTCTTCGAGCGGGCTTTTCGGCTGTTACACGGCTGGGAGAAGATCCACCTCCACGGTGTCACCCATTTGTATCTGATAGAGGCATTTCTCGACGAAGTCGAAAATCTCCAGAATCCGTCTATCGAATTCACATTTCTTCATGTGAAAGAGAAAATTCGGTCAGAATCGAAAAAGTTTGAGTTTTGTCATGAAGGCGGATTGGATAATAGAAA